GCTGTCGCTCGGTGGGGTGGGGCGGGTGCTCCTGAGGCTGCGGGGCCTGGAGCCCTCGGAGGGCTTTGCTCTGTCCCCTGAGCAGTGGAGCAGCCTGGAGCTTGTGCCTCCGGCAGGAGAGTCAGGAGAGGACGTGGCAGGTGATGGGGGGGAGGAGAGTGGCAGTGGCCACGGGGCCAACAGAGGGAGAGACGGGGTAGAATGGACCTAACCTGCTGAAGGACTGGCCGTGGGGCCGGAGAGGGGAGTCAAGGATGCGCTCCTAGGCTTTGAGCTTGAGGTCAGATGGATGTTGAACTGCTCATCCCGGGCCCTGCTTCGGACCCGTGGGGGTTAAGGTGGCTTGGAAGCCTCCAGGAGGAGCTGCGGGGCGGGCAGGGATCCGTGCACACAGCCTGGAGCCCAGCGAAGCCCCGGAGAGCCCTCGGCCTTCGTGGTGATGGGAACCCCGCAGCCAGTGAGAAGGGGGGGGTCATAGGATGCGGGCTCGATGGGCTCCAGTGTGTAAAAACTGGGAGGGCGGGGCTGTGTGTGCAGACGGAGCGGAAAGCGAGAGGGAGCCCTGCCCTGGAAGCCAGGCAGGCGCTTCAGAAAGGCGAGCGGGGCCCAGGAGGGAGCCAGAAGGTGGCCGCCGGGTTTAGCGCGTGGCCAGGCACCGCTGTGCGGGAGGGTTATGGATAGAAGCCGGGCTGGAGTGAGGAGCTGGAAGTAGCGAGCACGGGGAACCCATCGGGAAGTACGGCACCGAGGGAGGCGGGCGACGGGGCCACACTGGGAGGCGCGCGTCATCGCCAGCAGCTCCCGCTGTCAGGGCCCAGGCCGGCGTCCAGCAGGAGGGGACCGCGACACGGTCCTGGTGGTTGAGGGTTGCGAGTTTCTGTAAAGGAGGCAGGACTAGCCTCTCGGACACTCAGGGAAGCCGATGTCGGAGTGAGTAAGCGAGAGGGCGGGTGGACGAGGTGGGGACCAGAAGTGGGGAAGGGTCATTCTAGTGAAGGGGACAGCACAGCACGTCCAAGAACTTGGTAACCCAAGTGCCCAGGGTCTCTGCCATCCCGTCCCCTGTGTACCCACTGGGGAGGTGTTAACTGCCAGGTGCGTACGTTGGGGTGGGGACGGAATATGCCCAGAAGTGCCCACTCAGTGGCGACGAGACCAGAAGCTGTTTGGAATAAGCGGCGAGGTGTGTAGGTGAGAACTCTCGGGAGCCGCTACGAGGTTTGGCCAATCTGACTTGTTTCCCCCCCCCCTTTTTTCTTTTGCAGTCAACTTTGACCATTTTCAGATTCTGCGGGCCATCGGTAAAGGGAGCTTTGGAAAGGTAAGGATGATGGATCTTGAAGAATTTCACCCACACAATAGAAAAGTCCTGCCTGCCGGGCTCGTGCGTGCGCGTCGGGTTTTCTGTTGGTCGCCGGGCACGGCTGGACCGAAAGATTTGGGCTTAGCAAATTGGAAATGCGAGAGGAAGGGCGAATAGTTTCCTTGGGATCCGCTGTAATTTCATTCTGAAAATTAACTTACCACGGCAGCCCCGGTGTGGTGAATTACAAAGGCAATTATGTCAGGATCGCTGAGGCTGCTTCTCCCTCTAGTATCTAAATGAGGAAAGTGGAAAAACTGCACAAACTTACGAGATGGCCAATGCCAGCTCCTTCCTGCCACACAGGCGTTTTATTTAAATAAGTTTGTTTGGAGAGAACACTTAACGTGAGATCTACCCTCTTGACAAAATGGTCAGTGTACATGTATTATTGCTGAGCATGGATACAATGTATCCTCCGAACGCAACAGTGCCGAGACCTTAATGTGCATAAATGGGATCCTACAGGAAGGACCCTTTTGTGTAAGGAAGGCTTCGTAATGGTTGGCATCTGGCATAATGTTTTTGAGATTCATCCATCTCGCTGTGTGTCAGCACTTTTTTTTTTTTTACTGATGAATAATAGTCCGTTCTGTTGACATATCACAGTTTGTGAATCCATTTGCATCACGACAGACTCCAAGACCATTTCTGGTTTTTGCGGTTTTGCAGAGCGTCGCTGTGAAAATTTGCAGTCTTTTTTGCGAGCCTGTGATCTCACTTCTCTTGGGTTGGTATCTGCCGCTGGAGTCGCTCGCTGTAGAGCAGGCGTTTGTTTAGTGTTGTGCGAAACGGCCCGGAGGCTTTCAGACGGGCCGCGCTGTTACACGCCTGCTGGGAGTTCCGCTCCCGCTCGGCCTTGCCCGCATGCGGCGCTTTCCGAGTTTCTCACTTTAGGTGTCCGCGTGTTGAGCAGGATCTCACTGTGCTTTTCATTAGCATTTCCTGGATGAGCAATGGTGATGGACATTTTTTTCTTAGGCTTCATGACCAGTCTTATATCTTTAATGGTGAAGTTTCTATTCAAAACTTTTTGCCATTTAAAAAAAATGGGTTCACTTATAATCATTGAGGTGTCAGATATGTATCTGGACACCAGCCCTTTGTCAGATATGAGATTATTCTTGACAAAACTGTGGTTTGCCTATTAATTTTATTAGTGGTGTGTTTCTGTGCACAGACATTTTACATTTTGATGAGGTCTAATTTATTGAGTTTCTCCTTTTAGGGTTATTGCTTGATGTGACTTGTAGAAGAAAACTTGGCTCAAGAAGACATACTCAAGTCACAAAGTTATTTTCCTGTGTTTTCTTATAAAAGCTTTATGGATTTAGCTTATAGGTTTAGTTCTATGAGTCATTTTGAATTAAGATTTTATATGATGTGAAGGGTTCAGGTTCATTTTTTTTTGTATATGGATATCCATTTCTTGAAAAAAATTTCCTTCGGTGTTTCATGCGGTGCAAGTCTCCTGCCAATGTACTCTCTATTAATTTTATTTTAACTGAACTGCATTTACTCCCCTACTTTCTTGAAGACTGTTTCTACTGGATGCAGGTTATTGGGTTGGCAGTTGTTTCCTAATTACAGTAAAACCTCAATGTAATGGACTAATTCAGGTGAGGGAGTGTCCAATAAAGCTAAAAGTCCGTTATATATATAATATAGTAGGTTTTCAGAAAGCACATGTTAAAAAATTGACATATTAGTTAGTTTACCTGTTTTTACTTATGTAGACACATATGTATAATTAAAATTAAGAATGTATGAACAGTTTAATTTCACAGAAAAGTTTTCTCTATGTATTACTGTAATTTTAAATTTATACTGAATAGGTCTAGTAAATGTGTGCACTCACCAGTCAGCGAGGGTAAGCAAACCCACACCGGTGGGAACATTGGCCTGCACATGTTAAAACTGCTGTAGAAAGTCACATCGTGCCTCGTGGCAACAGAACCCATTACTGCTCGAGATGGCGTGATCATGTGCTAATCACTCACCAAACAGTTCACAAGCAGTGACTCTTGGATTTAAATATGTAGACTGTAGTTGTGTAATATTTATTCATGTTGGCAAAATTACTGCAGTGTTTTTTCCAACATACAGCCTATTTGCTAAAATTTGTTAAAAATAACTGAATTAATAACTAAAAAAATAACGTGTTAATTTAATTATAAGAAAATCTTGGTTAAAAGCATTTTAAAATTAATGGGACGTTAATTTTCACGTATGACATACAGATCAGAATTTTGCCCATTAATCCGAAGCCTGTTAAATTGAGGTCTGCAATATTGAGGGTTCACCGTAGTACTTTAAAGATTCTGTACCATTGTTACCTGACCGCCATAGTTTCTGATGAGAAGTCATGAAACTTAGAACCATTATCTGGTGTGTCACGTGTCACTTTTGTCTCTTTCCTTTTAAGATTTTCCTTTAATCATCGACTTTCAGCAGTTCAATTGTGATGTGCCTAGGTGGAAATTCTTGATTTAGAAAAGCATTTTTCTCTTTGCTTAGATTTCCTACATTTTCACTTATTTGTACCACATTGCCCTTTGTAGCATGAGCATAGTCATAGTCATCATAGCTGTCTTAATGTCCTTTATGCTAATTCCAACATCTGAGTCATCTTACGATTGACCTCCATTGAGAATGGGTGACGCATTTTTGTGGTTCTTTATACATTGAGTTGTTTTAGGTTACATCCTGGATGTTGTGAATATTCTGTAGAGACTTTGGATTCCATTGTATTTCTTCGGAAATGTACTTTTTTTTTTTTAAATCCTCACCTGAGAATATTTTTTCCATTGCTTTTCAGAAAGAGTGGAAGGGGGAGAGAGAGAGAAACATTGATGTGAGAGAGACACATCGATTGGTTGCTTCCTGCACAGCCCCGACCAGGCCAGGGATTGAGCCTGCAACTGAGGTACATGCCCTTGGCTGGAATTGAACCCAAGACCCTTCAGTCCAAGGGCCGATGCTCTAACCACTGAGCAAAACTGGCGTGGGCTGAAAATGTACTTTTAACAAGCAGTTAACTTGCTTGGACTCACACTTTTTTGCTCTGCCTCTTGGGCAGGTGTGCAGACCTCCTTCCTCTTCTCTTTCCTTCTCTGCCGAATTGCGTCCAGTGACCTTTAGGGGCCCGCCACAGAGTTGGGCAGAGTGTCTGTGCCACACTGGAGCTTCCTCTCCTCTAGATTTCTCAGGAGAGTGTGGCCCAGAGAGTTTAGGAAGTTGGCCTGTAATCTCATGGATAGTGAGATTAAAAATCCCCTCCAGCCTTCACTGTCCCTTGTCTGTCATCCTCTTGTTGCGCATCTCACGACTTAAGGAAACTTGAGGCGTGTCTTTTCGTCCACAACACAGTTGGCACCACACAGAACACACAGAAACAATCACTTTTACCCTGGTGTCATTTACAGTTTCGGTCCTGAGCCCTCTGCACCTGTTCATGGCATGCCACCAAATCTCGTAGCATGCAGCCTCATGATTTTTTTCTGCTTTTACTTTTATTAGTATTTATTTTATGTTGAATTTACTCCCACGTCTTAAATTTTTGTTTCTTCGGTTTCTCCTGGGCTATCTTTTCCTTCTGTGCGGCCTCCTTTCTGGCTTAGGAACAGTCTCTCTTTCAGCAGGACCACCTCAGCGTGGCAGGGAGAGCTCCTGTGTGGGGTAACCCGCCCACGGGCTCTGTAAGTTCTGTGCCCCATCTTGGGAGCTTCGCTCACCTGGACGTGCTCAACGACCAGAGAATCTACATCTAAACCCTTCCGTTTAGCATTGCTCTCTGCATTTTAAGCACGTGTGACAAACATTCAGCACTCTTCTCAGGCCACCAACCCTGTGTCCAGCCCCACTCCTCGGCCTGAGCACATCCACCAACTCCACCGTTGTGACGATGGAACGGCACACACTGCTTCTGTAAAGTGACATCCTTCAGATACTCGGTGGCTTTTCGGATGTGCATACCCTCAACGGCTGGGCGGTCTCACGGGTGTTCTTAAAGTGAACACGAAGATTTGATTCTCTTGAGGTGCATGATTTTGTGGGGTTTTCTGGGTCAAGTGAATAGAGAACCGTTTGCGGAGGTCACCTCCAGCCACCTTCAGGAAGAGCCTCATGATTTTTAAATTGGTTATATCCCGTCACCATCCTTGGAAGGTTTGTCTAGCTTTTCTGCCTCCATTTGTGCTGCTGTTTGTCTGCTGGTTTGGCTCTCAGAACCTGTCGTCCAGAGCATCATTGTTAAATATGGCTCTCACGGACCTTTTGAAAAATGCAAGGTGTCTAGAGGCTCTATTTTTAAGCCACTTTTGGGTCCTAGCCTTTCTTGGTGACCCCCCAATTCACGTGGAATGTATACAAACCTCGGGTATTCAGGATGAAGCTGGCTTACTTCAGGGCAATAGAACCGCGCTCTGTTCTGGTCAGAACAGCAGGTAATCGCCGCCTTGCATGGTAAGTGCAGAAGTCTGCGTGCCTGTTACTAAGCTCCAGGCGGAGGGGGCTGGCGCAGGACGGAGAAAACCACCCTCCTTGTATTGCATTATTTAGGCTTTGCTTCCTGTCTTTGGCAAGTTCAATATCAGGCATTTATTAATAGTTTTCCAGAAAGACATTCCATTGTTAAACTGTGACAATAGCCTTGGTTATCAGGAGAGAGCACCTGTGAATGGACAGAAATCTCATGTGACATTCGTGCCTCCTCAGTGCTGCACCAACATAAACAGTGCAGGCTACTTTAGCGGGAATTTATCGACATTTTAATAACCTTTCAGGGCTGAATTCGGGACAGTTGAGGCCCAGCACAGTTGTTGGTACGTCTCTGAGATTTGGACGTCAGGCTGACTCCTCTTCGTGTTAGCTGAGGGGACCCGGGAAAGTAAATGAACACTCGAGATGAATTTTCTCATCGGTAAAATGGAACAAGAGCAAAGACCTGTGGCGGCGGC